CTATGTGGGTTCCTTTACTTGTTAACTTATAATGGTTTAACGATATAAACCAAAACATTTAAACAAAACAGCGCATTTAGTCGTGCACGTTGCACGCCTTCATGCCATATCAGGAAGTTCTCGTTTAACCCTCATTGCTTTGCTCTGTTGTTGCAGTTATTTCAGCGGTAACAACGTAATCGCTCGTGCAATCAAGAACATCGAGAAGGGAGACCTCATAGCGGAAAACTACGGTCCGATATTTACGCAGAAGCCGCTCAGAGAGCGATTGCAGGTACGATTTTGTCCATAGAACGATTGTTAATGTGCTAATCTATAAAAGACCCAATTGAGCCGGTTGTGGACAGGCAGCGTCTAGCACAGCATTTAGGAAGACCCTTGGACAGAACGTTCAGGCTGCAGCCTCTTTGTTGATGTGCCACTTTATCGGTTGCATTTGATAAGTTATATTTATGTCCTACGACCTCGGCATCTGTTCAGTCAAAATCGTTTACATGTTCAACGCTTATTGCTTAACCCAGTTTCCTTTTGAGCAGGTGTTTAATTTCCGTTTCAGTACCTGCGCGAACGTTACGAGTTTGAGTGTCACTGCACGCCGTGTACGGAGATGTGGCCCACATTCGAGGAGATGGACAACTCGGTGCTCAAGTTCAAATGCACCACCTGCAAGGTACCGACGCTCATAGTCAGAGGCGACCGCCCAGTGTCCGGTTATATTGAGATGTTGAGATGTTTTCAGTTGCTTTAATTACCATTTTAATAAGTTAATTAAATAAGTGCCATCCTACGCCTGTTCCGAGTTACGCCAATGGGCGCCGCTCGATTACTGATCGGGAGCCCATCCCTGAGTCGGAGGCTGATACCCGCGCCGTGGGTTCTCGGCAGAGACCGCTGCCGGTCTCCACGGAGACGATGACGCCGCTCTTCACCTGCCAGCACTGCGGGCACGAGACCAACATCATGAAGGCGCTCAAGGTCCTGCAGGACACCGACGCCGCCTACAGAGCCGGTGAGCAGGCTGCTCACAGAACGGAAACAGCCGAGTTGTCGCTGTTTTAAAGCCATACAAATTCCAAAACCAGCACGAAAGCGTTAACGTTGGCATTATGGCGACTTGTTGTAAGTTCAGCTGAACGACGTGAGGTGATACCTATTGATATCACGTTGTTAGGGCACAACTGACCCATTCTGATCCCGTGACCTGCAGTGCGTACACCACCTGTGACCCGTGTCCTGTCGACAGTGATGATTTATCCGGAAACTTGATCCGACCGACTCTGACCTGAACCTCTCTGTTTGGTGACCTGGAGACCTACCCTGACCTTCTCTGACCTGTGCCCCGTCAGTACAAATAAATGTGGGACCTGCAGACGGTCGAGTTGACCACTGTGACCTGTTTGTGACCCGCCGGCAGGTATGAGGGACCTTCAGACGGGCGAGCTGACCCACTGACCCCTCTGTGACCCGTCTGTGACCTCTGACCTGTCTGTGACCTCTGACCTGCCGGCAGGTATGCGGGACCTGGAGACGGCGAGCTGACGCGCGGGATGCAGACGCTGATGTCGAACCTCAGCCGGCTGGACCAGTGTCTGTACCCGCCCTACCGCGACTACCACCTCTGCCAGCAGGCCATCCGAAAGGTCATGCTCACACAGGGCAACAAGTTCATCGCGGAAAACAAACCCTGATCGCCCGCAGAGAGCGTTCGGTCGTTTGTGGTTTAGCTCACGACAATAATTCATTACTAAGTGATACGGCGACGGCTGGACGAGCATAATTTGTCGTTTCCGTTCAGGCCTACCCATTACGCCGTGGCATTGCAATGCAACGTGAGGTATCGAAATAGCTGGTCAGGGATTCAACCCGAGGTCAGTTTACGATTTCGTGCTGTTACCGACTTTCCCCGCCAATGTACGAGTCTCGACTCTTTTCGAAAGGTCGGTCTCAGCGTCGAGTGAAAAAGTGTTAAATCCGCAGCGATACTGTCGCCAACTTTTCGCGCTTGCTGTGTACGTTTGCGTCCGTGTACCTACCATTATAACCTTTCAGGTCAATACGTACCCCGAGTAAATCTGGAAGCCGTAATCCGTCGACGCGGATGATGAAACATGTTTGCAATATAATGCTGTTTTGACCCCAACTAATTTATATCGATGCGTTTTTTAAACCCCACTTATCCGTCCTCCCGTAAATTTCCGACAAGTTGGATAACACTTTCAAAAAAGTACTGTCACTCGATTTTTCTCAGTTTGTCTGTCTCGGCAGACCAGGTAGTGTCAGAACAAGCTTACGAATACACATATTTTGATCAGGTTTGGACAGTGGCGGATCCAGGGGGGGGGGGCAAAATGGGCATTTGCCCCCCCCCCCCAAACGGCATAATTTTAACATTACGCCTATGGACGATGCATGGAAAGAATCGATAAATTGTTATGGTTTGCCCCCCCCCCCCAAACCTGTGAGCTGGATCCGCCTCTGGGCTCGGATGATTTAACACCTTTAAGGGATGTTACGTTCTTCCCGGAAATTCACGAGAGAACGGATGTGGGATTTAAAAAAAAGCGTCGATAAATGAATTTGTTATCAGTTAGCATCCGCACAAAGCCCATCTGCTAGCAAACCCATGGCGCAAAGTGACCAAACCGCAAAACGCAAAGCACATCAGGGTGAAATGACCAATGAGGAGTGAGCATTTAGTGACAACTCATTTAGTGACAACTGAACTAGGTAGGTAGGTAAGCTAAAGTCAAGAAGCCGTTCCCGAGGTATCTATGACCATCGTACTTGTACTTGACCGTGTCGTACTTCTGCAGGCTGAGGATAATATAAATCCAACAAACGATGCATTATAACAATCAATTTACACTATTCGACTCTGATATGATCATTGATCAATTCATTGATCAATCCTCGACTCTCGCCCTTTTTCTCGAAGGGAATTGGCAGCGATGAAGTAATCTGGTAGCAGCAAACAAATGCGATTTATTTTCGCGAAAGCTCGTTAGTCAGTGCCGGAAACAAACAAGATTCCGGCAACAGTCATTGTTTTGCATTTGTTTTCAACACAGGTGAGAAATGCATAGAGACTAAATACTGAATATTTGTGTCGGTCGGTTACGCTGCCATTTATGTGATAGTGCCTGTTGAATGTTCATTAAAGCAAGTCAAAGTCAACCCCAATCTCAATCTTGTGCCGATTGCTGTTTCCATTATTTCCCGTCGATATTTAATCATTGCTGCTTGCACGGATGCTCAGATAATTCATTCTATCGAGTATTCAATCATTCGTTGATTCATTCATTTGTGACCTCGTTCATTTAGTTAGTCATTCTTATTCATGTGCGCATTCATTCATCATTCATTCATTCATTCATTTATTCATTGTTCATGTGCCCATTCATTCATTCATTTAGGTATTCATTTATGCGTTCATTCATTCATTGATACATACATTCATTCACTCATTCATTTACTTACTAGTGTGTTCATTTATTAATTCCTTGTGATTCATTTATGTATTTATTCGATGCTGATGCGGTGACAAGTTTCACATCCGTTTATCGTATCGTTGGTTTTTATTCATCCAGTTTGCTGCACTAGTCAGTAGCCGGCCTTCACTATCGAGTCATTTTCGGGTTCGGCTCATAGTCGGCCACCGTCTTTTCTGGTTTTGTCCGACTGAGACTCTTGAGCGTCACAGTCGCCCGTCCAACCTACAAATCTCCAGCAACAGTTCGTCTCCACCAGCTACAATGTCAGCTCGGCCAGCGTTGGTCGAGTCCGGCCCAGCCAGCCGCCCACCCAGCCCGGCATTTCGTTCAGCCCAGCCGCCCGCCCAGCCCCATTGCGTTGTCATTGACCTTCGCCGCGTGCCCACGCCTTCCCGGCGCAGCATGGTCCTGCATCGAGCGCCGCCGGCCGCCGTATAATGAGATAGCCGTCGGGACTGCAGTATTTCGTATCGCGCGGCGGCCAGCACGGTTCGGCGAGCGGCACGGCGGGCCCGGGGGCAGACCGCCGAACCACATTGGCACGGCGCGCTGGGGAGGGAGGGGGGGGGGGGGTACTCACTCCCAGGGCAGGGAGTCCGGAGTAGGGTGGGGAGGGGAGGAGAGACGGACCGAGGCTGTAAACGGTCCCAGTGATCGGGTGTCAGTTGGCTGGCCTAATGGACTGCCGCGGAGTTATCTGATCATCAGGGGATCGTAAACGGAGACACTCGCGAATACGAGTCGGGGCGATGGACGGACAGAATTGCACAGAGCACTGCAGACGGCACTGGGGTAAGAAGCTGAGGGCTGTCATAGGCGTGCAAAGCTGGCTGTTGACGCAAGTGACGCGGAAAAGGGCAATTTGTTGTTCTGTTTGTTTGGCTGTTTGCCGTATATTGAGCTCATGTCGAATATCCGAGACGTGTTGAACATTGAGGTACTGCTTCTCGGTCCTGTTCTACACTGACGGCGTTTAATTTGGTTGGTCCCATAACCGGATACATAAGGTAGTGGTTCTCGTTCAAATTCATCATTTTTTTTTACAACGACGTCATTTGCCACCGCTGAGAAAAAAATCCTTTTGTGCGCTGGTCTATGCACCTAACAGCCACACATACATTGAAACCTGGCTAGTTGACATTCTACGCTCACACTCTCCGTTCGAGGCGCATGCTAAGGCACGCTCATTGCTCAGTGTACGATGTCTTTCAGGAACTGATGTTTTATTCATGGTAACTGGTAAGCTATTGAAGCGGCCGTGTACCAAACAGGCAACAAGTGTAACTGACCTGAGTGATTGTATTGATCTTGCCGTTGCAGCTGCCCTGCTTTTCCATGGATGTTTCAAGCTTTTGTTATTCACCGTTTCGCCCCTTAAATCATGTCACCATCAGTTTTAATTGAATGCCTAATTGTTTAAATGCGTGCCTATACCTACTTATCAACCTGTTTATTTATCCCAGACTAATGACTATAGCGCTCGATTCTCCGGTAGGATATGGTCCGCCTCGTGCGGTTCCCACACCGGTACGTCCGGGTGCGGTCCCCACTACCGGTCCGCGGTCCGGTCCCTGACCACACCTGTCCGGTACCGTACCGGACGGACGGACGGCCGCCGCACGGGTCAGCTCGCCGGATGGCTGCTCCTGTGATCCTCTGACCCCGTCCGGCCGGTCTGACACGTCCCCAGACCAACTGCCCACCGCCGACCGCGCCGACTTCGTCTCCTGACCGACGCGAGGCACGCGGGGTCGTCAACCCGCCTGAGAGTCGCGGGGAACGCCGGCGTGCGCCCGGCCCGCGGCGGCGGCCGCGCCGGACCGGGCCGTGGAGCGCGGCCGGTGCTCCCGGCGACTCTCGGCGCTGCAGGTAGGCGCTCGGCGGCGCGCTCTTCTGAGGTAGACGACGGTTTCGGCTCTGCAGTGCAGTCGCGCGCGTCCGCCGGACCTCCGTCGGTACAGACGCTGGAGCGGCTACCCGACACCCCGGAGAGGTCACCCGACACCGCGCGCCGACGAAACCGACGCGTCGGCGCCGGCGGCAGACGGCAGGCGGCGCGCCGCCCGGAGACCGCGGTGACCCAGTGCCGCGCATGGACCGCCGTCACGTGGGCTGCGTGCGCGCCGCCGCTGTGCACCGTTAGGCATCTGCGGCGGCCGGTCGGCGTGTTTACCGTTTAGAGCGGCGCCGCGGCGGGCTGTGGAGGCGTGGGAACGCTCCGGTGACGGCGGAACTCGAGTGGACGGTGGACGGTGGACGGTCGGAAGGACCCGTGCCCGCGGCGGGAGCGAGAGTGTTATGTTCTGTGGTGAAGCGAATTTGTAATGGTTTGGTGACAAAACAACTGTGCTACTGGGTAACAATTTTATGAGCGCAGTGTGATATACGATTGTGATTGTGAACGAAAAGTTTTAAGTGCGAAAAAGCCTGAGCACCACGTCTGCACTGAATTGGACTGGCGTCAGCCTTGCCACCTTCACTGCTCCAGATCAGCTGCATCAAATGGGACCAGCGGCGGCTGCTCTCTCACGGCCTTCTGACCCGGCTGTGACCTCGTGCTGACCCGAGACGGGAACGGACACCCACCCGCCGTGATCGCGGTGACCCGACACGGCCGCCGGAGTTCGGAGCTCCGCACTGCTGAGTCCCGTCAGTGGGCAGCCGCGCGCCTCTGCCGCCCGCGATCCCTCTCTGTGGATCTACTGCAGCCTCAGGGCGGCCTGTGACACCTCCGTGGACCGTCCGCCCTGCCATGTGGGCCTCAGAGCTGCTGGGAGCGCTGCTGGGCCGGCCGGCCAGCCTGCCGGGCAGCCGCGACCTGACCGGCCGGCCGGTGCTGTTCGTCGGCGTGCCGGCCGACGGCGGCCTCTGGTCAGAGCAGGAGCTCCAACAGGTGGTCCGCTACCTGGCCGACATACCCAGGTGAGTCTATGGTGAGGTACACAGTAGAGATGTCAATCGGATACCAACTTTTTGGTATACCGATACCAAACCGATACCAACTTGGTATTTGGTATTTCAATCGTAATGTGTTTGGTATTGTGTTGGTATCATAAGGCCTCACTAAGGTATAAGAGGCTAAGAAATCGGTAAAAAGTAGGTATTTCCCTCATTTTCCCAAGTTGGTTTGGTTTCGGTATTTTCCCGTGGTTTTGGTTGGTATTTGGTTTGGTATCGGTATTCCGATTTTCTGTAATTGACATCACTAGTACACAGCGGCCCGGTACCTGGTGGACATACCCAGGTGAGTCCGTGGTATGTACTCGGCGGCTCAGTTTACCCAGGTGAGTCTGTGGCTATTGTGGTATGTGCTCTAAGGTTCGGTGTACTCTACTCAGGTGAGTTTGTTGCTCTCATCAGCTGTGGAGGGAGCACGGAGTCAGTGACCGTCCCACATTCCGCGAATACCGGGCAATTAATGTAATTACTCACTGCTGCACATTTAGCTCAAATGGTTATGCTGGAACTTGTCTCGCCTCTCAGAGCAAAGGAGTAAGTTATATGTATGGGCCATCTGAAACCTGACACGCCTGCGGCCTGCCTGACACGTTGGTCATTTTCTGCACTGTCCGTTTGATATCTGACACGGCTGAACGGTTTTCGCGCAGCACACCCGACGGCTCGCGATAATGCCGGCGGTTGTAACTAGTGTCGGTCATTACTCGGTCGTACTGCGGGCGGACGATGCGTTCTGAGATTGGTTGCTGCGGCCACCCCTTCTCCTTCCCTCCTCACTTCCTGGACCCCGCTCAGTGATTGTGGCCGCCGGTCAAACGGACCGCACTTTGCAGCCTCTCCAACCGGGCGTGTTCCACGTATTGGCCTGTGGGTAGGTCTGCAATCTGACCGAGAGTCAATTAGCTGCCGCACGGCACTTCTAATCGAAAGTATTGAAAATCGTGTTCTTGGGTTAGTTGATACCGAACAGTCATCTACCTCACATCGTTCCGGTTAGTTTGATTTTTTTGTGATGTTTTTTTGTCCTATCAAGGAGCCAAGATTTTTCATCGTGCCACTTTCCAACCGATCGAATGCCCTTGTTGGGGGCATAAAGAGGCTGTTGACGGACGGGTCAAGGACGCTACCTTGTCTCCTGTGCCGTGTAAGTACCCGTCGAACTGTCGCCGCTGTTCGCTGCCCCTACACCACCTACTGGCCCTTCCTCCTGTGTGGGAAACCATTTTGGCTTTACAGTGACAGCTATACAGCTGACCCGGTGGACAAAAAGTGACATTCAGGGCGTCTGTGAGCTGTTTTCGTTTGGACGGTAAAACAGTCGGCATAATGGGGTCTGGGGTCAGCGCGGCGGCGCTACTTACGGACTAAGGCTGGGCTGACTAGGCCGGAATGTGGTCTACCAACCGTCGATCTCTGCGTCCATCGCGGTTCGGGCCTTCAGCTTTTCCGCTGGACAAAACATCTGCTACTCTGTTTTGAAGTGTTACATGAAAGCTGAGTGCATTAAAACATAATGAGGTGGTGTGAGTCCATTTAGTCATTATCTCGATTAGATAATTATGACCTTTCTCCGACGCAATAAAAGCTCAGATGGCGGTGTCGGGGGAGCTTGACTCCCAAAAATTTAAAAAAGATAAAATTGCTTATGATGGAACGGATTTCGTTGGTTGAAAAGTAGGTATCAAGTTAGGAAGGCAGCTTTTTGTGTCACAAACCGCGCTCGAGGCCGTATTACGCCGTCTGAGTCCTGCTGGCAACATCTGGTCACCTGTCGCCGTTCGCACCGACAGTGGCAGCGGGGTCGGGTTCTGATTCGGCTCAGCCGCCGTTTAAACCGGACTGGAGCGGTAGAGCTGGGTTTCCTCTCAGGTCAGTCACCGGACAGACCTGTTACAATGACCTGCCCGATTATTGCCTTATCCTTCTTCGCTTGAGCATCGTTTTTTTCAACCACATCCTTCTCGACTTCTCAAGGTAGATGTTTGTTCCTGAAACTTATCTGGCTAATTAGGCTGACATTTCCCGTTTCTGATACCTAGTTTCGTGGATTTCATTTTTTTTCTTGGAAAGAACCGTATAACAGACCATGTATATTGACAGCTCTCCCTTCCTTACAGGCCGGCCGACTCGCCTCTCTGTGTGGTGCTGGGCGCCCTTTACTGATACTGACTCTCCCTTCCTTTCAAAGACCGGCCGACTCGCCGCTCTGTGTGGTGCTGGACGCCCGCGCGGGCTCGTGGCGCTCGGTGCGCGCCGTTCAGCGGACGCTGGCGGCCATCAGCGGCCGGACCGGCGTGCAGCTGGTGCTGCGCCACGACTCCTTCTGGGAGAAACAGCGCGTCACCTGCGGACGGCCAGAGGACGACGTGCAGGTCAGTGCGCAGCACAGTGCACGCACTCGCACGTTTACAGCTTACGGGGTCTTCAAGAAAAAACTTCATTTCAAGTGCACAAACTCGTATTTTTGTTTTCTATGTACATGCTTCTACGTACAAATCTTGCCAACATTTCACATGAGTGCTTAAGTTGTCAGCGAGGAATATAGAGGCATAGTAAAAGTTACAATTTGTTGCGATTTGGATTGATAAATCATGCTGCTAACAGCCGCATACATATGTTCAACATTAAAATGCGAAAACATGAACACACTTCCGACCTCAATGTGAAGAGGACATTTTTCTTGGTAGCACATGCCAGATGTTCGGCACGTTTTCGAAATATGAGCAAAAAAAACTTAACTGCCATTGCTGCCATGCCTATCTTGGCCTCTATGGCCATGCCGGGCGCCTTGTTCCGGGCCGTCTTCTCGAAAACGATCACCGATAGAATGTTGGCGCTACCGCCAGTTTGTACTCAAATAAGCATTCAAAGTGTTGAAGTATGATTGATTATCCCCTCTGTTGAAACAACACACAGAACATGTCTGGGGACTGTGAGGGTCCGGAGGTGCTGCGAAGGCGCATTCAGGAGCAGAACAAACTGATCGAGCTCCTAACGCAGCGAAACAGCGAGCTGGGAGAGCGACTCCATCGTCAGCAACAGCAGCAGCAGCAGCAGCAGGAGCAGCAGAGCGGGAGGACGCCCCGCGGCAGCCGCAGCGTCCAGCAGATCCGGCTGCAGGAGACCAGCGACCAGCTGGAGCTGCTGCACAGACGATTCCAGGTGCTCAGTCAGAACCATGACGAGCTGACCAAGATCAAAGACGAGTACAAGACACGGAACCGCGCCCTGCAGGCCGACAACGCGCGCCTGCTGCACGAGAACGAGCAGCTCTTCTCCGGGGAGCTGTCCCGCAAACAGGGCGAGCTGGACCTGCTGCGCTCCCAGCTGGAGCAGAGCCAGCAGCAGCAGCAGCACGTCCGCGGCCGGCTGGGCGACGCCGAGCAGCAGCGCGGCCGGCTGAGCCGCCAGCTGGAGACGCTGCGCCGCAGCAGCTCCGACACGGAGGCGGCGCTGCGCCGCCGGCTGGAGGACGCCGCGCAGCGCCAGCGGCTGCAGGCGGCGCGCGGCGCGCGGCTGGCCGCCGTCTGCACCACACTGCAGCAGCGGCTGCGCGACGCCGAGCTGCACGCGCAGCAGGAGCGCCAGGAGGCGGAGCAGCGCGCCTTCGAGCGCGAGCGGCGCTGCGCGCAGCTGACGGCGCTGGCGTCTGACCGCGGCCGGCAGGTGCGTCAGCAGGACGTCCAGCAGGAGCAGCTGCGCCGGGAGCTGGCCGAGCTGCAGCGCCGGCTGGCCGAGCACGAGCTGCGCGCGCAGCAGGAGCGGCGCGAGGCGCTGCGCGACGCCGAGGTGGCACGGCTCGGCCAGCAGCTGACTGCTCTCCGAGCCGAGTACGACGCCTACAAACGGCACGCCACCTATCTGATCGAGCAGGAGCGGGCGCTCAACGAGAAGCTCCGCCACTTCCAGGTGCCCAGGGCGCGGCCGCAGCCGGGGCGGACAGAGACGGAGACGGAGACGGAGCGGACAGAGACGGAGACGGAGCGGGCGAAGTCGGAGACGAGGACGGAGCTGGAGACCGAGGCGGAGACGGGGCGGGATATGTGAGACTATGAGCGTGATGTGATGATTGAGGTGTCCTGCTTGACTGTATGAGCCTCATTAGAACTGTGGAATGTAGATTATGGATTGTATATGTAGTTTCGAATGATATGGCGAAATAAATATTGTCAACAACCCAGTGTTGGATGATTTTCACACATGAATTTATGCATAATGTTGCACTGTTCAGTGCCATTTGCGTGACAATACTTTTCATGCAGTGCGTTCTGCAAACATAGAAAAAGCTTCTTAGCCTCTCAGAAGCCTTCATGTACTACGTTTGTATATACCACTTTGATGTACGTACCAATCCCATATTTGTTTTTGCTGTAATCATTACAAACGTACACAGACTACCGAAGTGAGTAAACCTTATCAGAGCGTGTGTCGTGTGTGCATAAGCCAGCCGAGTGTGGAACTGTTTGCTCGTCTAACATGCCACATTCTCTGCCTTTAGCCGGAGTACATTCCTCTGTCGAAACTGCAGCGTTACATCGCCCCGGACCAGATCCCCGAGGAGTTGGGAGGGACGTTCCCGTACAACCACGAGGACTGGATCCAGGACAGAATGGTGAGATGTGATAGCGAAACGTGACGGATAGACGAATACGCTCGGTTCTAGTTTGCATTTCACTGAAGTCACGAAGGATGAAATTCCGCTGTCGCTGTATTACTATAGCTGCATTTTAGTGGAAAAACTTTCGATGTTGTTCAATCCTATAGACCATTGTGATCAAAAGAAAGAACTCCATTGAAATCAGCGCTCCCTCCCGTTCGTCCCCGGCAGCGACTGGAGCAGTTTCTGCAGGACGCCGGTGCCGCGCTGGACGCGCTGAAGACGGTGTGGCTGCGCCTGCTGCCCGCCGAGGCCGCGCCAGCGGCGCAGCTGCGGGAGACGATCGGCACGGCCGGCCCGCTCTACCGCGCGGCGCTGGACACCGCCGAGGGCGTCATACACACAGGTAAATATGCCCCAGACTGGACACAGACACAGACACACACAGGGCCGACCGGGACCGGACACAGATACACACAGGGGCGGGCTGAGGGGGCTGCGGCCGACATACGCTTATCCATGGGCTCTTACGTCTTGGCTATATGAGGAGTCACACGACCCGGTCATCATCATGTTTTTCCTATTTTGTTTGTCGGCGAATATGAGTCGAATTGCGTGCTCTATTCTGACGGCCGTTGTGTTCCCCAGGCGAGGAGCTGCTGTCCAGTCTCCGGCCGAGCTCTGAGCCCGGCCTCCAGCGGCGGAGCAGCGGCAGGCCGCCGGACCCGGATCCTCGGACCCGGACCCGGACTCCACCGGACTCGGACCCCCGGACCCGGACCCCGCCGGATCCGGACCCGCTCAACCAGCGACAACAGGTGCGTGTCACAGGGCTGAGTGACCGGCGTGTGGACGCTGGATGTGCCGTCAGTGTGGCTTAGCTCCGAGTCAATATACCAGTATAGGAATACTTGTCTCAGACCTGACCTCTCACTGTGGACTTATATCACCCCTCAGGTCAAGGAGTGTGTCACTGATCTGATCTTATGTCGCCCCTCATGTGCAGCAGCGGGTCACTGACCTGACCTTATGTGACCCCTCAGGTGCAGCAGCGGGTCACTGACATGACCTGACCTCTCACTGTGACCCCTCAGGTTCAGCAGCGGGTCGCTGACCTGACCTGTCACTGTGACCTCGTATGACCCCTCAGTTGCAGCAGCGGGTCACTGACCTGACCTCTCACTGTGACCTTATATGACCCCTCAGGTGCAGCAGCGGGTCGCTGACCTGACCTCTCACTGTGACCCCTCAGGTTCAGCAGCGGGTCACTGACCTAACCTCTCACTGTGACCCCTCAGGTGCAGCAGCGGGTCACTGACCTGACCTCTCACTGTGACCTGGTGCGTCACGCCTGGTCGGAGCTGCACACGGCTCTGGGCCGCGCCGACCTCCATCGGCTGCTGGTCAGGCGGGTCGACGACGTGATTGGCTGGGTGCTCGGCCCGGGGGAGGAGCTTCTGGCGTCCCAGGCGCTGATTGGTCGGGACGTGGCCTCCTCGGAGCGGCTCATCGAGCTCCACGACGAGGCAGAGCTGCAGTGCAGGGTGAGAAGCTGGCCACTTTGTTTTATATCTTTACTTAGGAACATGCTTCAATCGCACTTCCTCGTTGACCTGTATGCTAAACTCTCATCTGCCTGAACCTCTGCCGACTCCTGACCACCCTCCACGCCCAGTGTTCAGCCCTGACCCGGCTTATATTGGGACCTCTGACCTCTAATCTCCCCTCTATGCTGCCGATATCTGACCCCTATCCCAATCTGACCTCTGCTGACCTCTGCCCTAGGACACGTACGCCGAGTTTGCCGCGGTGCGCCGGCTGCTGGAGGAGGCCGCCGACGGCCGCTCGGCCGAGACGGCCTCTGCCGAGGAGGCGGCCTCGCTGGCCGGCCAGCGGCGCTACATGGAGAGCGTGTGCCGCGCGCTGGCCAGCCGGCTGGAGCGGCGGCGGCACCTGCTCATCACCGCCGCCCGCTTCTACCGTCTACTGGAACAGGTCAGCCGGGGTACCACGGGGGAGGGGAGGGGGCATCTCATCACCGCCGCCCGCTTCTACCGTCTACTGGAACAGGTCAGCCGGGGAGGGGGAGGGAGGGGTACCATGGACCTGCTCATCACCGCCGCGCGCTTCTACCGTCTACTGGAACAGGTCAGCCGGGGGAGGAGAGGGGAGGGACACCTGCTGCTCACCGCCCCCCCCCCCTCATATTTTCCTCGTGTCCGAAGTTGTTCAGGATGTAGCCGCGGACTACTGACTGGTTTGACAGCCTCGTAGTTGCTGGACGACGGGCTGGTTTGACAGTTTTGTTCCAGCTGTCAATACGTCATCTCCAGGACTGTTCAGTGATCCGTCTGGCTGTCCGTGTCCCCCGGACAGGTATTACGTGCTGTGCCCCTCTGGCAGGTATCTAACACGCGTCACGTGCTGTGTCCCTCCCGGCAGGTGTCTGACACGTGCCACGTGCTGCTGGAGGCCGCCGATGAGGGCGTCCAGTCGCTGCAGCCCGACCAGCTCGCCGACAAGCTGCGGCGCATGCAGACCGTCGCGAACGACACGGGTAAACTGCCGACACGCTGTCGACGACACGGAGCTCGAACGGTGTACCTAGGTGTCGCTGTGATAGCCCCCGAATCGGCCCCGTCCTCTCCCGAGTCTTGGTTGGGGATAAGGCCGCTTCTTATGACCAGCGGCATGTTTACTCGTTTATATGCATATTATAGTGCGACTTATCTTTGAGCTGCAACGCACTCCTTGTTAACTAGTTGACTACATTTAGACACCGGTTGGATATAATCTTGCATGGTGTTTTTATGAAAATATGAGATGTAAAAATCACTTTATTGTCTGTCTGCGTAGAGCGGATATACGCCGAGCTGATCCGGACGGGTGAGAAGCTGCAGGACATGTTGACACTGCCGGTGAAAAACTCGGCCGGTCAGGACATCACCCCCGACTACAGGTGAGTGGGCTCATCGCTCGGATATTCTCTGGTCAGGACGACACCCCCCGACTACAGGTGAGTGGGCTCATCGCTCGGATATTCTCTGGTCAGGACATTACCCCCGACTACAGGTGAGTGAGTGGACCTGTCGCTCGCCATCTTACGGCCAGGACATCACCCCCGACTGCAGGTCAGTAATCGAACACGTGGGCAGTAATCGCCACGCCATGTGTGGATCGCCCATGATCGTAAATACATACATACATACATACATACATACATACATACGAACAGTTATCACCCGCGTACGCATTCAATCAGTCCTTCTTTGAGAGGAACAATTTGAATAAGCAGCTTTGACATCATTTGCATGTGTTCATTGTGTGACCAAAACCAAGTAAGCAGCTGCTACCCTGTATCCCATCCAAACCGAGCCCGCCACCTGTCGGTCCCCGTGACACGTGTCGCTGGTGCGCCGGCAGCTCGGAGCTGGCGCACGTGACGCGTCTCTCGCAGCGGCTGCAGCAGCACGTGCAGACGGTGCTGGAGACGTGGGAGATCAGCCGGCTGCGGCTCCAGCAGACGCTGCAGCTGGGCCAGTGTCAGGCGCAGGCCGAGCAGGTCAGTGGGGGCGCCGGGGTCGGCCGCGGCTGTTTACAGGGCCGGTGCGGGACCATATGCGCCGTATGTGAGCGGCAGCCGTAACCGGTGGGTCGTGTCTGTCCCGCTGCGGCAGCACCGACAGACAGACACACACACAGCTGTCTGTCAGCGGGCAGTCGCTCCTTGACGGTCACCGGCTGCTCGGCGAACGGCCGCTCCATCATCCCACAGAGGAGAGGCTGCTGAGACCACCGGGCTATTTATTGGGGTGGTGTGGTGGCCGACGGGACGATATATTGGACTTACACGCCGATCTTTCAGTGACCTCGTTAACAGGAAGGGTATCATCGTTACCTCAGAATGGAGTGATGACTGTGTGACAGCTGGTTGTGTGTGGTTATATGAATATGACCCCCTGTAGTCCGCCTCAGGCGTTCTTCCGGTGTGTGCCGGTTATATGACGTCCCTAACCTCCGCCCCAGGCGCTCTCCTGGCTGGCGGACCTGAGTCGCCTGCTCGGCTCAGAGCACGCCCGGGTGGGTCGAGACAATACCGAGATACAGCTGATGAAGCGACAACACCAGAGCTTCGAGGAGACGGCCAAGGTGAGGCCGGCGCAGGCAGCGGGTGACTGCAACTTTTGGTGTGCTTCAATATTTGTTCCGTCTCCTAGCGTTACATTTGAGTAAAGGTACTGATGCTTCAGTGCTGTATTTAACTGCAAGTACTATGAAGTACGAATAATTTGTTCGATTTTTCCAGCGCACGTACGAGTACGGGGCGGAGTCGTGCGCGGCGGCCGGCCGGCTGGGCGGTGACGAGGTGTCCGGGCAGCTGAGCGGCCGTCTGGAGCAGGCCTGGTCGCGGCTGAGGGCCGCCGCCCAGGAGCACATCACGCGCCTTCGAGTGGCCGCCGTGTTCCACCGCACCGCCGACGAGGTACGGCCGGTCCGGTGCGATCTGCCGGGCGGGGACCGCGGCCCGTCCCACTGACCGGGGGCCGTCCATTGGGACGGCTGGGAGCGGGACGACGGCTGTCAGTTCCTCCTCGGGTCCCTGGGCCGGGAGCCGCCGTCTCCGGCCGTAGGCTGGGAGGAGTCACTCTCCGGAGAGTGGGTTGTGGGACAGCCGATCACCAACAGCTGGGAGGTGTTACTGGCCGGGGGTGGGGAACGGTCGACCACAGTGTGATAACAGGACGGCCGGAGGGTGTCACCGAAAGAAGATGGAGGTTTCACCCAATCGTACCAACTGTACTGTGTATGGTGTTCCTGTTTCTCCCTCGCTTCCCTCTGTATTTCGTATTCAGTATCGTTTCACGCCCCCCCCCCCCTCCCCCCTAGCAACTGCGTCGACTGCGGCAGCTGTGCTGCGAGCCGCCGCGGCCGGCGCGCGCCTCGTCGGTCGCCTCCTCGCCGCGGTCGTCGCCGTCATCGGCCTCCTCTGACGCCGTCGGCAGTCAGCTGGGCGAGCGGGAGACGCTGCTGCGAGACGTCGGCCGCACCATCCGGCTGGGAAAGCTGCTCCGAGAGCGGCTCCAGGACGACGTCAAACCCAGGTGGGCAGAGCCGCTCAGAGTGCGACTACGCGGTGTCAAATAGGTGGGCAGCAGCGGATATGCGGAATATAATCACCGCCGCCGCGGTTGGCCCACACACAACCATTAACACCCTCTTTACGTAAACATCCTACCGCCACCATTAGCGTTTAGCTCCGCAGCTCCAAACGGGGGTACCTGAGCGGGGTTAGGGGGAGGGCCGCGGGGTGCCGCCCACCTTCCTCCGTCGCTCTGCCGCCGGCTCCGCCCTCCCCCGCGGCGGTGATTTGGACGGGGGCCGGCCCGGTGCGTCGGTAGGCGCCGGCGGCTCCGAGTTGTGGGCCGGGGCAGCAGCCGGGGGCGGCCGCCCGGCCGACCTGGTCGCAGTGCCAAACGTGAGGCGACGGCCGGCACTGGCAGCGTCCCCGCCAGCTGCCGCCGGGACCGAGCGACCTACCCAGTGGGCGGCGGGCGGAGCGCGGACGGTGACCGGCGGACGACCCGCGGGAGGACAGGCCGAGTGGCGCGGGTCACACCGGTCAGCCGAGTGAGGGAGAGTGGGTACAGAGTGACGAGTGGCCGGCGTTCGGTGTGACTGAGCCGGGACTCCGCACAACCACAGGTAGGTCGGGGAGTGGGCGTGCAGATGTGTGGGTGTGGGTGGGTAGGTGGGGGGGGGGGGGGGGCGGCCGGGAGGATACCCATGTGGAAGGCCATGTCGGAATTGAAATAGGCATTCCATTTTTTCTGCATTTCCTCAAGTTTAAGCTGAACAGCGGAGGGTAGCTGTTCTAAGCTGAACATTTAAATATGACGTTGACTTCATCAGGGTGTTTGAGGTGTGGATCATGGTATCATGTCATGTATCACGGTACTCACGATCTTTATTTGGTCATTGTTCACGATCGCGAAAGCTCGATATGGACTCACCGTCGATCTGATTACCGAAATAAGTTCGATTGTGCCTAAACTTAAATTATGATATCATTACTCAGTGACTTCCAATAAACCAGTGCTGTTAAGTTAAATTTCCTTACAAACACGCATGTCCTAGGATCCCCGCCGACCGCCGTGTGAAAAGCGGTGAGCATCTTGACAGATCCCCCTTGAGTCTTGCCTTCGCGCTCAGCTGCGTTGACCTGCTTCCTTTGATGTCCGACACACTTCGCGGCGTATCCGCTGTCGCCGAACAGGTGTGAGGTCGTCTCCATCAGCGACCGATCGGCACATCTGAGGGATCTCCGCGCCCGAGTACCCGCCCACATCCATCGGACCCATTTCCACTCTCACCAGTCGTCACCCCGCCCTCCTCCCCTCTCACCGAGAATAGCTGCCTTACCGGGGCGGCGGCACGATCTCCGTCCCAAACTGTGCCGCCCGGCTCCCCGGGCCGCGCTGGCAGCCGCCGGCGGCTCGACACCGACCTCCACGTTCCTGGTGCGCGCCGCGCCGCGGCCGTGGCGAGCGGCCGCCCCGTCACCCGGGCCGGTATGCCCCGCGCCGATCGCCTCTGACGGCCGGGGGTCGCCCGTGAGGGATGGCCGGAGGGCGGGGAGGGAGCAGGCTCCTCAGGGACGGCAGGAGGTATTGGGCCAAGTTCGGCGCGGTCTGTGCGTGTCTGGGTTACAGAGGGGCGACTGACAGGTGAAACATTCAGATCGTTCTGTCCATCCGACATAGGCCAGTGCTGGCGTTCTCTGTATAATGGTAATGGATCACTCAGTGCAACGCAATGAGCCGGTCGTACTAATGATTTGAAGACAAAACGAATGACTTTTATACTATCTCTTGCGGCTGGTCTGCGCTGTAACCGAATGGCGGGGATTAGAGACAAGTCCCCTCTAAAAGCCCTGGACACTGAATTATGGAACAGTCACAGCCACCTGACCATGGCATGCTCGGCCACAGCCGTGGCAGGGCCATAGCGTCACACTATGTGACGCCCAGTGCCAAGTCCAATTTGTCTCCCACACCTCCTCCGCCCGGGTCACGAGACAAACGACTCGGGGCGGACCGGCGAAGACCTCCGGCGGCCGGCCGGCGACAGACCCCCGGCTGACGGGCGGCAGCAGACCCCCGGCGGCCGGCCGGCGATAAATCCCGGCAGCGGACCGCGGACGGTGCCGGCCGCCGCCCTGGCACCCCTCAATGGGCCGGCGAGCGCCGACGGGTGGGCTGTCGGCGAGCCGTGGCCGGCCCGGGAGACGGGCTCAGCCGCCGCGCCCGCTCCTCAGTCGCTCCGTGCCGGTCTGTGCCGTGACGGGTCCGTATCGGGCCGCGGTGCTCCGTGCCGTTCCGCGCCGTTCTGAGCTGACCGTGGCCGCTGCGGCGTGGCAGCCGTGCCGGCCGATTTGGCGCACCGCCTGCCTGCGGCGCCTGCCGGAGCTACTCCGGCCGTCTGCTGCCCCCCCCCCCCTCCCCCCGGGCGGTACTGCGGGGACAGCTGGCAGCGCCAGCCGATCCGTCAGAGCGCGCGTAGCGCCCGGTTGTCATCGGGTGCTGGCCGCGTGCCCTGCGGCGCCGGAAACAGCGGCTCATTTCACCGTGACGCGCTCTTTGAGTTAGTGCACTCGCCAGTTTTAGAACCGACTCGGTCAAATGTCCTTTTGGTGAGATTCAGCGCCTGAGCGACGCATATTTTGAATGTTGAAAACTGAAAAGCATTGCCTCACAGAGCGTTGAATCCTGCTGAGCGGTGAGATAAGTCTGCTAAGCCGATAATCTTTAGTGCCGACTGAGGATTCCAATAGTCGGAAGCTATTATCACAGCTGGCGACGTCGGTCTGCTCCCTCGCGTGACCGGTCTCTCCTTGGTGAACTGACCACATTTACCGTCCAGTGAATTTAACACGACGACCGATTTTTTTTTTGTTCTCATCGCTACCAACAAGTTATCGAGGGGATCGAGGGGTCTGTCGGCTCTGCTTAGGCTATTGACAAACTGCGTAGACTTCGTACTCACATATAACTACTAGCATTTCAGGAACCGGTGAATGGTAACGCCCGAGTCAAACACGACTCGCCTCTCGCCTGGTGGATGCGGACCTACGCAGGTCAACCAGGCCGCCTCCCCCCCCCCCCCCCGCCCAATCACACCAGACCCAGCATGCCTAGCAGACCCGCCGCCTAAACATGTCCCGTTCGGTAACCGTTTGGGCGCCCCGCTGTCGTGTTTCAGCGAGTCGGACCGCAACGCCGGCGCCCGGGCGGCCATCTCCGCTAAACTCTCCGAGGTGGGGTTCCTGTGGGCGCGCCTGGACGCGCAGTGTCGGCAGTGGCGGCGGGCGGCCGGCGACTCGCCCGACTCCGGCCCCGTCATGGAGAGCTCGCCCGTGTCCAGACAGGTGCGCGGCGCGGCGGGCGCTCAGGAGCGGGCGCCCGCCACCGGCACCGGCAGAGATGAGGTAAGAATCGAGGGAGAACCGTCTTGTTAAACTGACAAGATCATGCGTACCAAGGATTAGCACAATCATTGACTATATGGGCTCTGCGGTCACCTCGTCCTGCGTCGTTCTTTTTATGTGTTGGCCTGTTCCGTGCCATTGATTCGTGTTGTGCTGCATTTCATTTTTCATTATAAATTTCATCGCATATTGCCCATTTCTCTCCGGGTTTGTGTTAAGTGCTATCGCAGTCACGCTTCCGGCGCCTCCGGATCACTGTATTTGTATTTGTATTTGTATTTGTATTTATTTTGAAGAGCACTCCACAGCAACAGTGGCTTTTCAAGCTCCGAGTCAGAGAATAGGGTAGATACCAGATGTGTACAAAACAATTAGTCATCCAACCGAAACATACCAAGTCACACACACACACGCACACACACTGAGTCAGACGACCTTACTTCAGTTTAAAGACAGCGTCCGGCTCCGCATCTGTCGCTTCAGGGCTCGTTGGAAGCGTTTCCCTCTGAGGGAAACGGTCTCAGGTGGCAGCTGGTTGTGAAGCCTCGGGGCTCTCGCACAGAAACGCCGTTTCCCCGCCTCGGTTCTTGACCGTGGTACATGGAGATGACTGTCCTGCCTGGTCGTGCGCTCACGTACGTCCGAGTTCGAGCGGAGGACGGCCGCGAGGGAGACCGGCTCGCCACTCGAGAGCAGTTTCTGCGTGAGGCAGAGCGTACTGTACTCAGCGAGTTGCTGAGCCCCCAGCCAGCCCAGGTTCTCCAGCAGGTCACTCGCATGGTCAAATTTTCTCCGGCCGAAAATAACTTTTGCTGCAAAGTTAAGGATTTTTTGGATTCTAGCTGTGTTCTTTTTTGAGCCGTTGCCATAAACTGATATGCAATAGCGAACCTGCGAGAGAACCAGGGCTGTCACAAGAGAGACGAATATGCCCCGGGGCACGACGTCGTACCTGTGAGAGACCGATGAGGGTCCCAGTGCAGCGGCGGCTGACGGCAACCCAGGGAGTTGCGCATGCTGAGCAGCGTGCTGGTCAAAGTGTCAATATCGATAGGTGATACAGTAAAACCACACGCCCCCACACGCGGTAAACGGCACGCGACGGATCGAGCAGCACCCTGGTCCCGGTCCGCCACCTCGGCGGCCACTCGCGGTCCGACAGAGACGAAGAAGTGGTTCAGCTCCTCGCTGGGTAGCTGAGGTAGCACCGGTGTGCCAGAGCGCTTGCCAGCCACAACCCCCCGCACGCTCCGCCAGGCGGCCCGCGGCCCGCGCTGCTTTTTATGGGACCTGTGATGGTGTTCTTTTGTGGAATGTTGTGGCGGGTGAGGCCACGTTTGTTTCTTTGGGAAATCAGATCCAAACCATCCGATTCTTCCGGCTCTCCGGAAGATGTTTACATTAGAAATTGTCAGCCTTCTGTTACGGTCGAGAAGCATCATGAATGAGACGCTTTATGCCGGCCAACTTATTTCATTCAGTTTCTAGCTTTACCCTTGGTTGGACTTGCCCATATCACACACACACACACACACACACACAATGTTTATTATCAAAGACAGAAAGATTCCGGAAGAATGCAGCAGAGGGATGCAAAAGCGCAAAGCGCTTGAGTTTGAGCATCACTCTGGAAGAAGAAAATACAAACAAACAGACAAAAACATACCAGATGAGATCCTAAACTTAAGATACAGAAAACATTTGATAGGCAAAACTCAAAGCATACGAGTTGGCTGTCGCCGCCACGACAGACACCGAGCAGTAAAGCAGTGTGCGCGAGCCACCGCACGGTCAGTCCGGAGCGCCACGTCCAACCGCAGCCTGACAACCTAGATCAAGGTGGTATCTTGGTGTTGAATTTAGTGTTCTGTAAACCGGTTTGATGATAAAATGAATTTTTGAAAGAGATGTGCGACCGCGCAGCCGCTCTCATCGTCCAGAGTTTCACCGTGAATAAGAAAGTCAAGTTTTTGCTTAGGAGAAATTTCATTTAGCTCAATACCTATTTGATAAGAAATAGTTTGAAACATTTCTAGCCTTAGTGGTTCGTAGAGTGCACAGTCAAGGATATAATGCCGAACGTTCTCGTTTGGAAAGCCACAAGCACACATTGATGTTTCACTTTTTTGAATTTGGAAGAGATGAGAGTTCAGGTGACTCATTCCGGTTCTTAGTCTTGTGTGTAAAATATTTCCCAATTTAGACCCAGTTTCATAAAATTTTGGAGGCTTGGTCACCCCCAGCCGCTCAGAAATGGTCTTTTTGAAGGATGTTCGTGGCAGGGATCGGATGGTTTCGGGGAGATCATTCCAGTGTTTAGCCGTTAATGGAAAAAATGAATTATGGTACGAAGTGGTCCGGCTAGGTGTCGTTGTATGTGTACTGGCATTCCTTAAGACTCGTCCGGTGTTTTCAGCGCGTGTGTGAGGCATTGTATTTTTAATATATTGTGGTGTGTACTCTTCGTGGCTGTTGAATGTGTGATAAAGTGTTATTCTATGCATGCGTCTTCTCGTCGATAGTCTATCCCACCCTAAGTCGAGTAAAAGCTTGTCAGTTGGTGTTCTAAATAAGGTTGCTGTCACGAGTCTTGCCGCTCTGTTTTGTAGTCTCTCGAGTCGCATGGCGTCGTGTGTCGTGATATGTCCGTCGTATACTGTGTCGCAATAGTCGAAGTGTGGTCTGATATACGTCTTATAAATTTGGTCGAGAATGGGCCTGGGTACGTACTGTGCAATTGGATATAGTGGGCTTAGTGATTGGTTGACCTTTTTACAAATTTTGTTGATGTGATGGTGAAAATGTAGGTCATTGGAGAATGTTAATCCCAGATGAGTGTGGTTTTCATGAATGGGTATGGGATTCCTACCAAATGTGAGACGTGGTGCTGTGAAATTATTTCTACGTGAAAATGTTTGCTGGACTGTCTTTGTTGTGTTGAATGTAATTGCCCATTTTCTGCCATATTTATATATTTCGTCAAGGTCGCGTTGAAGTGAAAGTTCTACGTCGTGGAGGTCTGTCGTTGAGTGGGATGCGTGAAGAGATGTGTCGTCTGCGAAAAGTAAAATTTCATTGTCGATGTTTTGTTGAATTCCGTTAAGATACATTAAGGCTAAGAGAGGTCCGAGTACAGAGCCTTGAGGACAGCCAGCGTTAACAATTTGTTGGTTCGAAAAGGTGTTGTTTATTTGCACTCGTTGTCGTCTGTCACTGAGGTAGGAAGTCAACCATTTTAACAGTGAGTCAGTTATGCCAAAGTCATGTTTGCATTTGTATAATAGTCCTTGGTGCCAGATCTTGTCAAAATATTTTGATATGTCCAGGTAAATTACTGTGAAGTCATGGCCTGAGTCGAGTGATTTGTGCATGTTATGGGTCAAATAAAGTAATTGTTGTTCCGTGCTGTGCTTTTTTCCGGTATCCACTCTGTTTGTCAGTCAATAATAAGTGTTCTGTTAAATGATCATAAATGCGTTTGTGGACAATTTTTTCAAAAACTTTTGAAAGGGAAGATAAAAGACTGATGGGTCGGTAACAGGTATAATCAGATGGTGATCCATTATTTTTATATATGGGTTTCACATTGGCCTGTTTAAACGTTGAAGGATAAATTCCAGACGCGAGAGACTTATTAAACAATTTCGAAAGTGGGCCTGCTATGATGAGTGCACATAATTTTAATATTTTTACTGGGATTTTGTCCGGGCCAGTGGATTTATTAGAGTCAAGGGAGTTTAAGATTCGTAGGACTTCTCTCTCAGTTGTCTCAATTGTACCGAGGGTGGGAATCGTCGTGTGTCCTATGTTGTCCATTGGTACGGTGTGCGAATTTGGAATATCGAGCTTTGCCTGACTGGCAAAGTAGTCGTTTAACAATGTCGCCTTTTCGTAGTCGTCTGTCAGTACTTTTCCGTCAGTCGTTTCTAGCGGTGGAATGATGCTGTCAACTGTCTTACCTGTTAATTTGCGAAGTGTTTGGTGGTACTTGTGCGGGTCTTGTTTGTGCTATCACTTGATTGCTCACCCAAACCAAGTTCACCTCCATTCTTCTCTGGCCCCTTCCCTCGTTCTATTTATCTTACCCCTTTCTCTGGCTTCAGAGCCTGCTCTAATCCCTGCTGCACCGACTCCCCTCCCCTCCGACCTGTCCTTGGGCCCTCCCTCCGACCCTCCCCGTGACCCTCCCTGTGACCCTCTGACCCCGCTCTGTGACCTCAGGAGGGGCCGGACTGTGCGCTGCACCGGTCTCCCCCTCCTCTCCGTGACCCTTCCTGTGACCCCGCTCTGTGACCTCAGGAGGGGCCGGACTGTGCGCTGCACCGACCCCCTTCCTCTCCGTGACCCTTCCTGTGACCCGCTGACCGCTCTGTGACCCCCAGGAGGGGCCGGACTGTGCGCTGCACCGGTCAGCCTCCTGGCGGTCCACCGACTCGGACTGGCTCACCGCTCAGTCGTCCGAGTACGGCAGCGCAGAGGGCGCCACTGGCGCCGCCGCCGCCGCCGCCGGCTCCCTGGCCTCACTGGAGGAGCTGGTCACCGCTCCGCTGGCCGGCTCCGGATCCCTGGAGCACGGCGACGGCGACTCCAGCCCCGAGTCACAGGTAACTAATTCACTGGCCCAGATGGTGATCATGTGTCCGTAAGAGCATACTTTGAGGTATTTGTGTGCACTCAGTCTGTGAGTAAATGGATCATCCTTTGGGACGGAAACTTTGCTTCGTATGATTTATCGGCATAGTTATGATTTATGATTTATCGGCACTGTTTCCATCATACTGGCTCACATAATCAGGATGACGTTGGTCCCAGAATTCGCCAGTGTATCCGCTGCTCCGTATTGTGTCGCTCGTCTCTGACGTACCTCCCTCTACCCCCCGCAGCAGGACACGGAGCCGCCGTCGCTGGGCGAGGACTGGAGCTACGACTCGCCGCCGGACACGGCCGACCTCTCGCTGCCCGGCTGGGCCGCCTGGCGCAGCAAGTCGCGCACGCCCTCCCTGGAGAAGCTGCTAGACGAGGACTTCCCGCCGCTGCCACCCCTAGGGGCCGGCTTCAGCGGACGGCGCAGCAGCAGCGCCGGCAGCCGGGACAGCGGCGGCGCCAGCGGCAGCGCCGAGACGCGCTCACCGGCCGCGATGACGCCGGCGGTGACGTGCGATGACGGTCTGCCGTCGTCATCGGCCGGGGACCGGGAGCCGTCCTCAGAGGCGGACTCGTCCGAGGGGCAGCCGCGGCGGCCGTCCGCCGTGTTTGTGTCCGCCGCCGGCCGCCGGCCGCCACAGCCGGCGGGCTGCGGGGCGCGACTGGTGGTGAGCCGGCCCGGCGCGGCGGCCGGCGCGGAGGGGCCGCACGGCCCGCCGGAGCCGGCCGGCGCCGTGGTGGTGGTGACGGCGCCGGCGCTCTACCGGCCCGAGCAGCGGCTCGTGCAGCGCTCAGCCTCCTTCTCCACGGAGCTGCGCAGTAGGCCGGCCGCCAGCGGGGACTCGGAGTCGCCTGAGGCCGGCGGAGGGCCCCGGCCGGCCGCCACGTCCACCAAACAGTCGCGGCCGGCCGAGGGCGGCAGTCCGGCGCGGCCCCGCAAACTCAGCCGCCTGGAGCGCCGCCTGGAGCGTCTGGACGCCTGCGTGGACGCCGTCCAGGCGCAGCTGCTCCAGCTGGAAGGCCACCTGGACGCTCGCATAGAGAGCCAGGCGAGCGAACAAGACCAGGAACAGTATGACGATGAGCATTACGAAGAGCTGGACGGAAAATGCGAAGGAAGCGAACCCGTAAACCAGCCGGAGGACCAGCACGAACACCAGCTTCGGAAGCAGTCCTCCACAGTACTGGAGGTAGACCTGTGCGCGGAGTCGGAGAGTCTGACGCCCGTGCCGCCGGCGGTGCGCGAGGAGGGCCGACTGGAGACCGCGCCCGGCCGGCGGCCCTCCTCCCTGGCCAGCACCCCGTCGCCGCTGGGCCGGCCGCGCACCCTGACACCGTCTGCCTCTGAGGACGCCGAGGTGGACGGATGGCGGCTGCCGGGCCGCGTCACCCCCCAGACGCCCACCGCGCCACGGACCCCGGTACTGGAGACCGCCGGAGGACACGAGCTGCCGCCCCCGCCGCCGCCGCCGCCCCAGTCGCCGCCGCTCGGGACACCGGCGGCCGAGGAGGAGCTGCCGCCGCCGCCGGAGCTGGGGAGTCTGCCGCCGCCGCCACCAGAGCTGGAGCTGGCCGGCCTGCCGCCGCCGCCGCCGCCGTACGACGAGCCGGCGACTGGCGCGGACAGAGCTGCCTCTGACGACTGCGCGGAGCTGCCGCCGCCGCTGGAGCCGTGGACGCAGCCCCCGGTCGAGCCGCGCGCCGCCGCGCCCGAGCCGTCTCCGTCTCCGCCGCTGTCTCCGGAGACGGCGCGCACAGTGGCGGAGACGGCGGCGGCGCGCCGTCAGCGGACGGGGCCGGCCGACGTCAGCGGTGACGTGTCTCCGGACCTGGACGTCAGTGGGACCGGAGACGAGGGCATGGAGCTGCAGTACGCGCACCGGGTCAGTGTGACGGAGCCGGCCGACGAGCCGGACGAGCAGGCGAGTCACTCACTGGGGGCACTGGGACGGGCGGGACGGACGAGCTGGCGAGTCAATCGGGACACACCGGGCCGGGCGGGACGGCCTAGCGACTACCTCAGAATCGGTGCATTTGTTTGATTTACCTCGATGGCTACGAACACTTGTTTTGTCGCGTAAGCCATTACATGTTCATTAATCAGCCGCAGAAATTAACTTCGTAGATACGGACTTTCCAGACTACCTAGTAGCGAAACTAGAGAGAACGATACGGTTTTAATACCCCTTAATGCCCTTTAATGCACCACTTTAATACATTACGATGACTGGCACTATGGAGGGGCTCGCTCCCAACAGAGGTCTGCATGGGATGAGTCGGTGGACCCCGATGAGGAGTATGTGGCCGCGCTGTGCCAGAACGGGTAGGTGAGGGGACAGAGCCGCGTCCGGGTGCCGGGGCCGTGGCGCCCGGTAAATGTTTACTCCCAACTGCCAGCGGCCTCATCTGGCAGCGCCGGCCGGGAGATCAGGCTGCGCAGCCAACTCGAGCCGCGCTTAGGGCAGCAGTGCTTTTATGCTTCAAGTTTGTTTATTGTTTGCAAAGATATCACTCTCCTTCCTTAAAAATAGCTCCACTGTCTTATGGTCATCTATTATCCCAGTGTGTGTGTGAATGTGTGCCCGTTTTTTCAGGACGAGCCGCCGGCCCATTCGGACGCCGCCACGAGCCCGAGGGGACTGGAACAGATTGAGACGCCGGGGAACTCGCTGGAGACTCGTCTCACAGAGGTGAGTCCTGCTCGGCTCCGGTCGGCAGGTAATGCTGTTCGCTCACATGGGACGGTAGGGGATAGAGAATAGACATGGCTCCGGAGTCGGCCGAGCCAACCTACCCTCCGACATTGTCAGCGGGCCAGGACGGAAGATTGCAGAGCTCATGGTGGCTGCATGCGGCACGTGCAGCATATAAGATCCAACCCGATGACGTGCCAGCTCAGTTAAAACTTGGCTGAATACGGGGAACGGAATGAAGGCAACGCTGCTGCCTCATGCCTGGTGGCCGAACCTCCCATTACATTGCTATCTACATAGTGCGGGTATTGTACCACAATGCAGTGAACAATAACCGTGCCTTGTCTCAACCCTGGCCTGTCACCGCCTCCAGACGGCAGACACTGGCGCTGGCTCCACTGTCCGGCCCGGTCGCTCGAGCGGCGTTTTGCCCAGTTTTTTACCGTCCCGTCGGTCGGTTTGTTTTCCCGGCTGGACCTGGCGCCGCTCTGTGGTGTTCCGCCGGCCCAGAGCGGGCCGAGCGGCTCTCCAGCCGCGCCGGGTGGGAGGGAGCGCGGCGCCATGCCAAACCATGTGGCCGCCGGCCGGTCGATCTCGGCGTGCAGCTCCCGTCTTCCCCTCTCCCCCCTCCCGGTCTGCCATCCTCTCCCAGGCTCTTCCCGCCGGAGGTCTGGAGGAGCTATTTTCGGACGGCCGGGAAAGGAAATCGCCCGAACCACGCACTGCCCTCCCAATGAGGAAAGAGCATGCAGTGAGCAGAGTTACGCATTTTTATTTTTATTTTTATTTTTATTTGTTGCAACGCGGACTGTAGCACTCGGCAGATATTTGATTCGAACTTAGTATAGGTACACATGATGTCCATGCAGAGTTTGGTAAATTTCATATCACCCACTGACGTCCTTTGATATTTCTGACATAGATTGCAACACAGTTCAAGTTTGAACTGTGTTGTCACGGCGAATAAAAGCCGCGTTTAAATATACCTACCGCTTCGTATCGCAGATGCTCCGTATGCGCATCAAAAGCATCACTCGGATTGCAGCTCAGGCTGTTTGTAGTGTGGTGCCAGCTAGTTGTTTCGAGATGTCTGCTCCTCTCAGCGTTATCGTGAATACGCTCCATCCGCCTCTACCTTCCGGTGCGCTGCTGGGAGCCTTCCGCAGCGTTTTGCTGCCCCCTCCCCCCGCCGCCCTCGGTGCGTCCCCTCCCCCGCCCTCGGTGCGTCCCCCGCCGGTGCAGCTGCCGCCCCGGCCCGGGGGAGTGTTGACTCTGTCCCTAGCGACGCCGACCGTGCGCGCCCACACCGTCCCAGCGACGCACGTGGTCCGTGTACAGTGCAGACGGCGCCCGCCGGCAGCCGTGCGCCCGCTCAGCTCTGTGCAGCGGGGCTTTCATGGCCCGGCCGGCCGGCTCAAATTTACTCAACCGGCGCGTGGCCATTGGTCAAATCGAGCTTCAGTGAGGTGAATGCTGATCGAGCCGAAAGGGGCTTGCCCAGTGCCCATGACAAGCGATAAAATCAGGTTCACGATGGGCTTTCTGGTTGGTATGTCAGCGACACGCTCGGTTTTTGTTGCCCACCAATGTCGGCAGGCGCTTCAGTCGCCGGTTTCCGTGTTAGCGATATGCGCTCTGTCTCACGTGACCTCTCGTGTTCGTGGAAGCCGTTTGGGACGCTCCGGGACCGGACGGTGATCATTGGAGCTACCCCGTCAGTCGCTGTCGGCCCCGGCCCGCCGCCGCGCTCCGGACTCTGGGAACACGCTCCGAGTGCCGGCGCACTCTCCGTAAAACCGGCGGCCGGAGGAACTGGCGGCGTGCTGTCGGCGCTCGTCTCGGGAGTGCTCCGGGACGGCGAGTGGGCGGTCCCGCGGCTCGGGGAACTCCCGGGCTGCGCCGCCGGCCCCCCGGCCCGGCCCCGTCCGGCCGGCCGGCGGATCGGTCAGCGGCTCACCGCTCGGCCAGCCGGCCTTGAGGCCGCCGACGACGCGGACTGGGGGCGGCGGCGGCGGCACGGCCAATTTGGCGGTCATGGAACTGGCACAGACAGACATACAGACATACAGATGCACTGAATGAGTTACACGCCGCCGCCAGGCAGCAGGCCGGCTGGCACGCCAGAACCGGCCGCCAGCCGCCAGTGCAGGCCACATTCCTCCACTGTCAGATGAGTGCGCTGTATCCAATTCCATATAGCTGGCCCCTCGGCGTGCTGACTGTGCTGATGTCAGAACTGTTTGTCTGGCTGGTTAATTCACGAGAAAGAGCTGGACGTGTAAACGCGGCCCTAAACGGCCTAAGGGCCGTTTTAGCAGCCGTTTACATGAATAGGGACTAGGGAGTCGCTTCAAATGCGTGACACACGCCATACTCGCCTGACGTATGTGTGGCGGCGTACAGTGTGTCTAAAAAGAATGTACCGTCGCCACTACGTGGCGCTGGTGTCGCGAGCCGGTAGTTGGCTGAATCCGCACCAGACCACACATTCCCAGGCGCTAGGTGACAGCTGCGCAGCGGCCGGTAGTAGCGTAAGCCCGAACCTTCGTGACACGACCCCGGGGGGGGGGGGGAGGGAGGGGAGCGGGCGGGGCAGCGCGTGTAGGGAGGGGTGCTCCAGCAAGCTGGCAGTTGTCGCGGCCAAAGGTCAAGGGGTCACACACCAAGCGAACGGACGCTGATGTGGGTTCGTGGGGATCATGAACTTGTGTGTGGTAGGTGCGTCTGGCGATGCACGGGTGATACGCCAGGTCTAAGCCAAAGGATTCAGGGGAGAGCTGAAGAAAACACCTGTTCAACTACGGCGAATAATAGTGCTGAAAAATGGAAAATATGGGTCAATGCAAGCCTTCATGACTATAAACAACTTTCTGAGGACGCAAAGGCCAGCATTGAATAACGATATCCGGATCGAAATTAGCAATGATTTATAATTAAATGCCGAACTAATAGCGCTGCAAAACGCTCCTAGTAAATTGTCAAGTCGGATTATACCCACTTGATTTAAACTATCCTAAATAAAATTGTTAATTAACTTTCTAACACTGACGTTCTTTATCATACGATAAGTATGGGGTTAACCAAGATTCAGCATCTTCCGCGTTCAAACAATCACCTGTAAGGCTAGAACATTAATGGCCAGGTAAAAACATGGTCGGGATTTGATTAACCGGATTTTAAGTCGATTTTTTTAGTCGGGATTTGATAAGTCGGATTTTTTTACGTCAACCGCATTTTTAAGTCAAGTCAGGTCACTGATCTATGACGCTATAAATGAGCAGTCCTAAAATGAACTGTGTGAAACTGTCCTAAACTGTCCTCAACAATTTGGGACTGTGTGCAAACTCCCAAAATGTTCCAACTTCGCAACACCCTCAGTGCAGAGCTTTCATAGGGAGATGAAACTTACAGGATCTTATAGTATGATCGAGAGTCTCACAACTTGTATAAATGTATATCTCGGATTTTCTGAAGGGTCGCCAGAGATCAGGTCAGTCTCTCACCATTAAAAGTCAGGGGAATATGGAAATTGCTAGTTTGGTCCGGAAATATATACAACTATCTCAAATTCTCAAGCACACGGAATCGTGATTTCATGCGCCCCTTGCAAGGTCTGAAGCTTTAATTTTGCTTTGTTGATCTTGCGTGACGTCATTTATCACGTAACCAAGGGTATCAGTTTTTCGTCAATAACTCCCGATCAACTAAAGCTACCGAGTCGATAAAGCCACTAATGGACATGAAAAGACCTGCCGAATCGATTGATATGCAATATGACCTCCTTTGACCAGCTTCGTGACCTGACGGGGTGTGACCTGACCTTGACCCGAGGTTAACACCTTAACTCTCGCCCGTATTGGTGTTTTTCCAGCCGCAAACGTATAAGGAAGGGGGGGGGGGGTCCGTTGGACCCTCCCTTGCCGTTTCGCCCCTGATCGAGCTAGAGCTTCACGGAAAAAAACGAGCGTGTTGGCCGTGACGAGAGGAAGTTGATGATACCCAATTTTAAGGTCCTTGGTCATCGGTTGACTTTCCAGGTCAGGTCAATGACCCAAAAGTCGGGAAAATCGGGCCTGTTAGAAAGTCGTAAAGCGTGGCTGCTATGGGGATTTCGGGGTGCTGATCACGAATATCATGTTAGTTTTGATCACAGATGATGTCTTCATGCATTTAGGCCAGGTCGGGTCAGGTCAGGTCAGGTCAACCAGTAAGGGTATTCGTAGTAGGTGGCAACCGCCTCTGACAGCTTCGCAACATGTTACGAGGGCACCAAAACTACTTCGTAAATGTTCATATGGCTGCTAAATTCGAATTCAGCTCCTAAAACTGGCCTAGAAACATGTAAAACTCGAAAAAGTGAACCGAGGTCATCAAAGGTCAATGACCTGACCTGACTTTCCGGTGACCTTGACACCCACCCTAATGCATGGAAGCAACATCATATCCCATGTTTGAACGCTTAAAACCACGAAAAGACTGCAAACGCGCCGCTAATGCGAGCCGACATACGCCGAATCGCGATTCCGGCCAAACATGGTCTCGAAAAGTAGGTCGCAGGTCAAAGGTCATTAAGGTCAGGGTCATGACAATTTCAGGATGGGTGTAAAATTGATTAACGCGAGGGTAACGAAAGTTTCGTCGCGATCGGCCGCTTTTTACGCGAGTTATTCGCGAAAAACCGAGGGAGGGGGGTCCGTTCGACCCCCCCCCCCCCTTCTATACGGGCGAGGGTTAAGTTGATCTCACCCGAAGAAAAAGTATACCATTCGACACGCCTGAGCTAGACAAACACGATGCTGCTAAAATCGCGGATCTGCGATCATTTTTAGCGAAGTTATTTACCAAAAACCGAACCTGTGCCTTGGGCCACTTGACCTGACCTCCGAAGTCATCAGCTGACCCTGGTCCTTAAATCGGAGACCAATCGCTGCATTTCGTAACGACGCACACGATTGTTTCTTTCGTGAGGCTCTAGCTCAATTAGGGGCGAATCGGCGAAGAGGGGTTGGAAGTGTTTCCTCACTTCCAACCCCCAACGTCCCCTCGGTATTCAGAAAACCTGAAGGTCCGGTGAGGGTTAAAACGTTTCTCCTGAACGAGGAAGAAATGTAAAAGTCAAAGCTCTATAGACGTCCTGTAAAAGTGGCCATAATAATAAATTCGTTAGAAATAAGATGCTTTTTAAACGACTTCCTCATATAAAATCGGGTGCTGGGAACAATCTTATAAACGCTTTAGAATGGACAGGGCGTCACTGGCTAAAGTTTGGGTGCAGAAAACGGCTATTACCTAAATGCAAAATGGTTTTCATGCATTTCAGTCAATTGTATATTGTCGGTCCCAGTGGCCGAGCTAAAAAAAAAAATCGGTAGTGTTTTGCATCCTTTACGCCCTAAGAAACTACACCATCTATCGAAGTGGGCGGGCTTATTTGAATGGGAGGGCGCATTATGCACGAATCGAGTGCTTTCGTTTATTTTGGACTGTATTTTACCACATCCACTGGTGGTATCACTATTAATATTATCTAATGCCGTGAATACGACAGCATTCCATTTATAAGATTGGGCCAATGGAGTCGCGCCCCGCGAGCTCGGTTTTCCGCTGGGCCGCTACAGGCCAGGAAGTCGGGCTTCGCCTGAGGGCAGGACAAAGGTCAGCGAGGGAGCGCGGGGTCAGCCAGGTATCGCCAAGTGCCGAGCGGATGCCGCTCCCTCCCTCTCTTCCCCTCTTCTCCCCTCCCCACCTCGGTATAGATGGGGAGGGACCGAACTGCCAATGACATGCGAGCGGTCAAGGCCGCTCGCGCGGCAGCGACCCTGGCGGCCGGGTGCCGCAACTGGGATTCAACCAAGTTACCGATTCGCCTCCTGTGGGAGAGCCAAACCAGGGGACATACTTTTTAGATATACTGTACGTACAGTAGGTCTACATAATAAGTCCTTTCCGTATGCGGGCAGGTGGCGCCCGAGTAGCGCTCAGGCGCTAACTGCCCACTGGTGCCCGCATACGGAGAGGACTCATTTTGTAGACCTACCGTACGTCATTACCGAGTTCGCTTTAATGTCTTCAGTTGAGCTAGTTTACAGATCGCGAGGTTTGTACTTAGACATAGGTACGCCTAAAAACGGTGTTGGCTTATCGCAACCCGGGGACGGGACTGGACCGAATTCTGCTGTGGCTCTAATATGCATTTTCCTTTCGATCGTTTGTGGGTTTGACTCGACCTCATGCAACTAGTCGCTAGACAGTCTTATTTACGCGACGGTGAAACCCTTTTCATCACGTGCGGTGCAGGTGCCTGCTTTCGACGGGTTTTGCTACCGTTTACAATTGTTTTCGACGGGGTTTTGATATTCTTTCATGGTTTACAGGACTTCTGTTATTTATTGATGTTATTTATTTGAATGTCCCATTTCTGATTCTACTAGAAAGCAATCTTAACGTTCGTCGTAGTCCCAACCTTCACCCACAAAATCATCCCAAACTCGTTGTTTTGTGACCATGGTCACAAATGGCTTGGACCGGTCGGTCACTACCTACACGCACATCCTTTATTTGGTTCACGGTAAATGCCTGTCCGTGTTAAGCATTCATAACGTATTCCAGATGTGTACATTTCCGCTAGGTATAAATCGAATGGATGTGTGGGGTAGGTGTTAAACAAATCATTTGGATTTCGCACATTTTATTTTACCAAAGGATCGTATATTCTTCGTATGTGTACAACTATACAGATAAACGTGCCTTTTTAACTAAACGACAAATAATAATCAACCGCGGAAATAAAATCATGTGACTCCTAATCCACATAAGACGATGATGATGACCGAACACGAAATCATGCGAAGCGTTGGTATGCACATGAAACGATAACTTCGAGTTCTCTTCCATCTCACACGAGTATGATGTCGATTCGAGGTAATTTTGCAATAGGTTGACATACATGTTTCCGTAGACGCACTTGTCTAACCGCCAATTGCTTCGCCCTTGTTTTGTGTAATTTCACCAAAACACGGTTCTGGTCTGATGATGGTCGTTCAGTAGAAATGTGAATGGCTGTAAGAGAGATGAAACATGCAGACATATGCTTGCTCAAAAACACATATGTATGGAACTGAATGGCATCAATGTCGAGACGTGTCAATGCAAATAAATACTGACCACTTCCAAGATAGTTACGTGCACATCGACAACATGGACCTAAGCATTTTCCTTCGAAAGACGTTTTGAGGCCCTTACAAAACGAGCCGGGTGCAGGCACATCAAAAACTACGTGAACCTCCCGGTCACCAGAGATATTAGGCGAGCTCAATTTCAAGGCGCCGCAGACGGCAGTCCTTGTGCGAGAGATCACAGTCAGGGACAGCGCCAGGCCACCCTGAGCAGGACTATCCCCGCCGTCAGCAGGCACGGCGGTCAAGGCACCCGTTCCGCGGCACTGTGTGCAGACGCTCGAGCCACCGCTCTCCATCCGTCAGGAAGGGGCTGGACGAGCTTCTGGGCGGAAACTTGTCCGCATCCTCTAATACGGACAAGAAAAGAAGGCGATAAGAAAACTAGAATCCATTGGAAAAGACTTAATCAGGACAAATGCTGCTGTTAAATTTAACCAGATCTGCATCGAAAACAACTTGCTTCCCAAGTTTACGAATCCTCTAATACTTCACCGTTTTTCTCACCGTCCATCGCTTTTCCATCGTTTTCTCTCTCCTATAGCTTTGAGAGTCCGCGAGCATTTTTGTTCATTCCACAATGAGTAAAAGTTCGTCCAGTGTCCCAACCCGACATGACTCCCAGCCCTTCCGAGAAACAACGCTGTGAGTTCAGGGAAGCTGGGCAGCGTCGTGACGTGACGACATCGGACTACTTCTTCATCAGTCCACTGATCACGTCGATGGGCACGGGGAAAATGATGGTGGTGTTCTTCTCTGCCGAGATAGTGTTGAGCGTCTGCAGGTAGCGTAGCTGGAGGGCGTTCGGGCTCTCGGCCATGACGTCGGCGGCCTCCTTGAGGGCGCGCGAGGCCTTCATCTCGCCCTCGGCGGCGATCACCTTGGCCTTGGCCTCGCGGCTGGCCTCGGCCTCGGCGGCCATGGCGCGCTGCAGCTCCATTGGCAGCCGCACGTCCTTGACCTCGACACGCTCGACCTTGACGCCCCAGGCGTCGGTAGCCTCGTCCAGGGAGCTCTGCATCAGGTGGGCGATGGTCTCGCGCTGGGCCAGGATGTCGGACAAGTTGTACTGGCCAAGCACCGTGCGAAGAGTGGTGGCCGCCAGCAGATGTGTGGACGATGAACTGTTCTCCACATTCGTTACAGATATCGTCGGCTCGAAAATCCTATAGAAGACGACGGCATCGACAGATATGGTCACCAGGTCCTTGGTCAGAATCTCCTGGGGAGCGACATCGAACGAGACGACTCGGAGATCTACGCCGCGGAAGGTGTCGAGGCAGGGCAGGATGAAGAACAGCCCGGGTCCCTGCGCGCCGCCGGGCGCCAGCCGTCCCAGCCGGAAGATGATGGCCCGCTCGTACTCCTGCACCACCTTGATGGTGAAGCAGAGTGACAGCGGGAAGAAGCAGATGACCAGCAGCCAGGAGAGGAAGATGAGGAGGGCCTGGCAGCCGCCGTTGGTGTTCTCGTCGCTGTCGTCCTCTCGGCCCATGACGCGGGGCGGCGGCCGGGCGCCCGGCGAGCTCGGCTGGCGCGGCACCAGCTGAACAGTCGGCTCCGGCTCCGGCTCCTGGCCTCCTTTGCTCAACTCGTACTCGGCCGTGGCGCCCATCGTCGGTGCTCGCGGCGCCCCACTCGTGTGCACGTGAGAACCGCTCCGCCGCCTCGGGCTCACTGCCGCACCGGCTGCGTCCGCTGGTCAACACACACCGGACGTTATTCGCCGGCGGAATCGATCGGCGTGCAGCGGCGCGTGCCGTGTGGGACTGGGTCGATATTGCGGCCGTGCGGTCACTGTCGGGAGCGTCCGCCACCCTCCCCGCTCGGAGCCGTCGGCCGCAGTGCCTGCCGACGGCCGCGGGGCTGGCCCGCCGGCCGGCCGGCCCGGCTGCTGCTGCTCGGTGGATGCTTCCATGCGCCGCCGCCACGCGACGCCACCGACGGACCGGCGCCGGCGACAGGGCGCTGTCAAAATAAATCCGAAATTTCGACAGGCATTGGGTGAGACGCTTATACTACGCATTCGAGTGATTTTTTACTGTCTGACAGTGATCGTGAGCCAGGAATAATACCTATAAATGATGCGTAACAACCCTGTTTGCCTATATGCTGTTACCTATATCCTCTTGACTACTCGCCGCTTGAATTTTGACGAGTTCAAACGCAAGCCAGTGGCAGGTATTCGTGCTCAGAAGACGGATTTTAGTAGCATAGCTAGTAGCTACCTTCCTACTTGTTTTGCGAAAACTTTCTGTTTTTAACATCGTGAAAGTCCCACCGTTTCTAAAATGTTGCATTATTGCTGCTGATAGGGGTCATTTGTGGCCCGCCGCCGCTTAACCCGTGACTGCAGCGCAAGAGGCATCTGGCGGATTTCAAATCGTCATCAAAAATGCATCGAAACTCGAAAGTACGCGAGCTAATGGCTAGGCGTCTGCACAATAGCTGACCAAAAGCCTCCAGTTTCCCGTTTGAACCCGTGAAATGGAAGTGGTGCGGGGTTGGCGGTCGTGCAGACTCGATCGGTACCTCAGGTGATGTGCGCTCGCTCGCTCTGCCGCCCGGCGTCCCCCGCCGCGGGAGGCGGGGCTCGCCGCTGTACCCGGCGGCGCGCGCTCAGAGCAGGACGGTGACCTTCACCGGCGCCGGCCTGTGACGGTGGCGCCGCGCCCGGTGGCGTGCCGAACTGCGCCGGTAAACAGCGCGTCCGCCGGTCCGCCGGGCACGCCGCGCCGCGCCGCAGTTCGGTGACCGTGGCTGGCCGAGGCCGGGTGTAGCGTGCAGTGACTGAGAGACGGAGACTGCCGGAGCGGCTCACTGCCACACCGGTGTCTGAGGACTGAGCCACCGCGGCCATCTGTGCCGAGTGCAGCGCCGCGCGGCGAGACAGTCTCGGAGAGGGTTACCGGAGCGACTGAGTGAGGGACCGGAGCGGCGTCCGCGCGCCAATCATGGCCGAGGGCGGCAGTCAGGAGCTGCCGCTGCGCAAGTCGATCTCTGAGCACGGCTCGGAGCCGACGGTGGACCTGGTCACCGGCCGGCCGACCAACCCGGACCGACCCAAGCCGCGCGTGCTCGGCAGGGACGACGAGAACCCGGCGCCGGACGGCTGCTGCACCGCCTTCCTCACGTTCATCTCCTGGCTGCTGGTCATCTGCTTCTTCCCACTGTCACTCTGCTTCACCATCAAGGTGGTGCAGGAGTACGAGCGGGCCATCATCTTCCGGCTGGGACGGCTGGCGCCCGGCGGCGCGCAGGGACCCGGACTGTTCTTCATCCTGCCCTGCCTCGACACCTTCCGCTGTGTAGACCTCCGAGTCGTCTCGTTCGATGTCGCTCCCCAGGAGATTCTGACCAAGGACCTGGTGACCGTATCTGTCGATGCCGTCGTCTACTATAGGATCTTCGAGCCGACGGTGTCTGTCACAAACGTGGAGAACAGCGGCTCTTCGACGCGACTGTTGGCCGCTACAACGCTCCGTACTGTGCTGGGCCAGTACAACCTGTCCGACATTCTCTCCCAGCGCGAGACCATCGCCCACCTGATGCAGAGCACCCTGGACGAGGCTACCGACGCCTGGGGCGTCAAGGTGGAGCGTGTCGAGGTCAAGGACGTGCGGCTGCCAATGGAGCTGCAGCGCGCCATGGCCGCCGAGGCCGAGGCCAGCCGCGAGGCCAAGGCCAAGGTGATCGCCGCCGAGGGCGAGATGAAGGCCTCCCGCGCCCTCAAGGAGGCCGCCGACGTCATGGCCGAGAGCCCGAACGCCCTCCAGCTGCGTTACCTGCAGACGCTCAAC